CTGTCCAATATGTATAAAACCTAAATTAAAAACACAAAAACCTACCCACAATGTGTGAAAATGTGTTATAAATCACAACTTAGCATTAAACAAAACGTAAATGGAAAGCTGCCAACGTAAATAACAACATACAGATAATAGTAATCTAAGCCCATACATGTAAAGAGCTATCCTCAGTGTTCACAAACATAGATAATGTCCCTTTAAATCTACAATACATCATTTTAAATTTATGTTTGAAATAAAGTTCCCCAAAAAAGTCCTTTTTTTATATTCAAAATAATACAGTGACAAAAAGTCCACAAAAGTGCTTGTGAAAACAAAAGATCCAAATTCTCTTGTGCCAGAATACTAGCAAACCAATGCAGCCACCACCACCAGAAAAGATAGCCAACTTCTTACCCTGTAATATGACCCCCTATATTACAAGGAGGTCACAAAGCTTGTTATACCACCATTCCACGCTCCTTCCTGCTCCTGACCTACTCACATGTATTTCCCAGGATCTCATTGGCAAACCTAGAAAAGCTACAATTTCTGGGGAAATTGTGTGAAGTGTTCTTGCCTCCACTCTGCTGCCTGCTCACACACCTGGGTTCCTATGGCAACTCACTCTACAGCAAAGGCAGAAAAGAGCGGTTAAAAACAAACTGCTCCAACTTGCTCACTTCACTGGCGGTTGCCATCTTCAAACGGTTGTAGTTTAAAAATTATAAATCCTACACCAAAGAGCTTCACTGATATTGTAAGAATCACAAGACCCAGACCTACATTTTGATGCATAGTATGTCTCTGAAATATTAAAAATAAAGGCACAGTCGCAGTTTAGAATTTGCCCTTCAAATTTGAGGTGGCTAGAGTGGAGTTTCAATGAATGTCAATAGGCGACGTGAGTTGCAAACAAATGGTCATATTGTGAAAACTATCAGGACTATGGCTTAGCCGTGGACATTTTTAGTTGCAGCAGGGAAAGCTGAACGTTTTGATATAAGATTCGTGTGGGTGGGCTTGAAAATGAGGGAGTGATGGCAGTTTAGAAATCATGTCCTGATTTTTCAGCTCACACTCTAGCTTTTGTCAGCTCCCAGTCTAGTTTTGAACATTCCGCCATTCATTCCTATGGGACCAATTTCAGCACAAAAACGCCGATATTTCATGAACCATTCGGCAAAATGTTCCACAAAGTAATAGCACACCAATTGGGAACAATCCACACGTTTCGGTATATTACTGTCTATGTAGTGTAAAATCTGTGGGAGGAGTTAGGGTGGTAAATTTGGCTATAATAATAAGAATATATAGATATGTGAGATAACAGTAAGTGGTCTTGCCATGCAACACTTAATAATGTTAGAATTCCCTTACAATGCTACATTATGATACATTAAAACCAAACGGTTTTGCAGAAATTGTTCTTATACCATTAAAATAACATTAGGTTGGGTTGGCGAGGATGCAAATTAGCATGATGGTGACATTTTTGTGTGTGAATGACATTGCATTCGCTTGCCTGAGAATTCAACATCTACACAGTAAACACAAGTGTCATCCATATGATCTCACTTCATTTCATTCCAATGTAAACAAACTGCAGAAGCTGCTGGTCCCCACTAGAGGGGGTCTTTTACGTAGGATAGTGACTAGAAAATGCTTTCAATAGTACTGGGAGCGTGAGCATTTCTCACTGCAGAGCTGGAGTAGTGGCTATGTAAAGAGACATTTAAAAAAAAAAGTTTTATTATTTGGTGAGTGTGGTGGCAAAAGAGGGGAGCATGGAGAGTTTTGCACATTTTGGAAGATAATGAAGTCATTTGGCACAATGCACTTTATTTGGCACAATCTTATATGAACTATTTGTATTGGGAATTTATATGGAGTGCTCCACAAAAGTGTTATTTGACTATAGGTTACTATATCCCTGCTGGGGGAGAAATCACAAATTTATATACCAGGGACTATAGCATGGAGTTTACATTAACCCTATATTTTGTGCATGTTGTAAACATATATACTCCTAGATTGTAAGCTCGAAAGAGCAGGGCCCTCAATCCCCTCATGTTTTGCATTGTATTGCTATTGTTCTGTCACATGTTCTGTCCCCCTTTGTAATGTACAGCGCTGAGCGAACTATTGGCGCTTTATAAATACTGATTATTAATAATAATAATAATAATAATAATAATAATAATAATAATAATAATATTTTGTGATGCTTTGTATGCCAAGAATTGTTGTTGTTTTTTTTTTTATAAGCGAGTACAGAATTTTTGTTTCGTAACGCAAATTAATGTACACCGTAGAGGTTTCTATGTCTCCTTGCTTTATTGCAAAGTGACCTTAAAAGACACAAAGAAAAACACTCATCACACATTCATCATAACCCCAGGGGTTAAACATGGCTTGCTCCCCTTCTCCAGTTCTTTGTGAATACACCATGAATACACCACTTTAGAAATACCCTTGGTTCCCCCTTAGTAATTCAGACCAGGTAACTCTTCTAAACTTAGTAAACTAAATTTACTAATAACATTTACAAATAAATTCTTCTACATGCAATGACAGTATCACAGAAAGTGCATACAACTTCAAGTGACACAAATGCTCCTCTGACTTCAGGACCTTTGCATTAAAAAGAGTCCCTTCTGGCTGTGCAATAGAATGAGAACGTTGGTAACTGGCTGTATACCCTCTTCCTGCCCTCTCTCGTGTTGGTGCCCATACCTGTATAGATGCCAAATCCTTTTAGATTAGAAGTCCATGTTCCTGAAACCACAGATCGGGTCCTGCTGTAGGTTTGTTGTGCAAACAGATTACATAAGCATAATAGGTCCTCTTTCTTACATTCCATCTCTGGCAATGACCACTAGACAGCCCTTCACCTGTACTCAGGTCCCCCCAAAAAAGAAAAAAAATGACATGTACACAGGGCAAGAGATTGACTCAACAACATGCAGTTTAACAACAAAACAGTGCATGCAATAGGCACCTGCCCACATGTATGTTTTTGCAATTATTTTTCTTCATATATGCACTGTGCAGTTTTGTTTATAAAGAAACCTGTATCTATATGTAAAATAAATATGTAACGTGTCAATGCTGGCCTCTCCTAAAAATGCTAGCTACCTGGCTGTCATATTAATGGGATAACACTTTCTGAGTAACTGAACACGTATGCAAATCAGAAGTTTTGACTTTACCTGCAGTATATTTGAAGTCTTTGATTCACATTGTTGAAGCTATACTTTGAAGCCACTCAACTAGTATTAGAGGGAGGCCAACAATGGCAGTTACCATATTTCTCTTGGTACAGGTTTACTTTAAAACTAATCCCTTCTGATATGTATTCTGGATGTTCTAAACAATCCACAAAATGGCATGTCTGGTGTTATCTTCTCAACCAGTGGAGGACATGGTCTGTTGGTACAGAGGTGTCAGAGTTGAAACTACAGCCAAACATTGGAGGCAATGGTAGCAGGTGTTGTAGGGTGTATAGGTTGTTAGTGTATAACTGGGACCAAGGTTCTTACCAATGTGTGAGCAAAAGACCTAGGCTGGATGTACATGGCCAATGTTTGTGTGTGCAATCGCCTATTATTGTTAGTATGTAGTAATATGAACGTAGTACACACAGATTTTGAGCATTGTGCTATTATTAATCAAATCTCCAAGCATAAATCATGCAACAATTGTGGGCTCTAACTGCTTTAGCAAAAATCACTCTTGTGCGTGTACCCTAAGGCCAAAGCCACACCTATGGTTTGCAGTAACCTATGTGTTTTAACCTCCCTAGCGGTCTGATTATTTCAGATTTTTGGTGCTGAAAGTGGTACCATTATTTTGCATGGAAATATGTAGTTTTTTTTTATTGTAGGCTGTAATTTTTAGGAATAACTCACTGAAATCTGTCCAAACAAGAGTCTATTAAACATCCCGGGTATGATAAAATTTGAAACACGAAATCATAAATTATAATTTAATAAATAATCATAAAAAATAATAATATAATAATAATACATTTAATTCAATAATATAATCAAACCAAAAAACACAGAAATTTGAAATAGAGCGCCAAGTTCGCACATTCCTGAGCAAAGTCGCAAAGTCGCAAAATCGTTTTCAGTGTCTGATGACGAATTTCCCCACGAATCATTATCACTCAATTCTGCAAGTGGTTCTGATTTACTATCGCTGTTCTCTAGCTGATCTAAACCCGCTTTTGACCTAAAGGGACACTTTTTGGACGCCATGGACTTTTCTCAGTTTCCAGGCAGAAAGAACAGACAAAATGCAGGCAGGGCACAGGACAAAGCACTAGGGACAAAATGTATGTGAAATGGGTTGAAACAGCAATGTTTTGCTATGTAAAATTTGTTTGGAAAAAAATGACATTTTTTAAAATTTTCAAATTTCCCGATGGCAGCGACGCACGTACGTCCCGACGTCACAGGGACCGGAATACAGAAGCCGGATGTCGGCATCGGCCGGAGGAGATGGCCGGGGATGCTGCAGGGGACACATCGCGGGAGCGAAGGACAAGGTAAGCTCTGCAGGGACTCCCTATGCAGCGCCGCATGGTAAGCCCGAGTGTAGCTCGGGGTTACCGCTTTTGGTACAGAAACTTTCCCCCGAGCTACACTTGGGAATACCGCTAGGGAGGTTAATGTGTTACCTCAAGGCACAGCAGTACACATATTGCAGAGCATTCCACTGCAGTGCAATTTATTTTGACTGTACCCCAAATTACCTGTGTAGAATATGAGCATGCAAATAGGGTCTATAAATAGACATCTTCAGAAACAGCAAAAAACACTGACAGCTACAGACATTTGAAATTTATTGATGGTTTTTACATTGACTAGTAACTTCAGCTGAATGTTTCACAATGAGAGATGAAGTTTATCTGTATTGGGACACCAGGTTTGAAGACACATCAGACAGAAACTTGTCCCAGGCAGCTTGGGCATCAGGAGTGAATTGGTTAGGGAAGTGGACAGCCAGAGTTACCTGAATGGCATGGGACAGGAGCTGCAAGGGAACAAGATAGAGTCATATAAAATTATTGGAAATATTAAAATGGAATTCTAGCCTATACTTAACTAACCTTAAAACTGTCCCCTCCCCCTTTTTAACATGTATGTTAATTAACCTATGTAAGAAAGATGTATTGTATATACTTGCCTAAATTCAGTCCGCTCTGGTCCAGTCATGTGGCATGCTGTGTTAGCAAGAGCTGGCTGCACAGTACAACTGATAAGGGGATATCGTCAGCCCTCTTGTACAGGCCCTATCAGTTCAGCAAGGGTGCCCTGGAAGCTGACAAGCAGGGGAAATTGCATCCTGAACAGAAAAGGTGATCAGTGTGGTGGAGGGGCAATTACTGGAACCGATCCCCCTGTATGGCTCTCCCTGCAGCAGCTGAAAGTCAGCTTCTCCTCTTCTCCCTCCTGCCAACTTTAAACTGCTGCAAGGAGAACCACACAGGGGATCGGTTCCAGTAATTGCCCCCCAGCCTTGCTGATCACATTCTCTGTCCATGGTTTGCCCCTTTTCCCTGCAGCACTGATGGTTGCTTCTCCGCTCCCTACTGCTGGCTGCTATGGACAAACAGGACACGGGGGGATAATTTCAGAATGAAGAGTGGGGGGCTAGTAAATATGTCATGTTTACTGACACCCTCTTTCTCTAAATGTACACAGTTAGTGATCGGTACCAATCATCCATTGTGTTCATTCACAACTGAAGCATAGTAAATGGTGTTATGGTGTGTTTTTCAGTTTTAAGGCTAATTAAACATAATCATTCAATGCATGAAGGTAATAAACCTTCAGTGGCCAGTTCCCCCTTCAGACCCCCCCTAATACTTTCCCGAGCCTGATACCGCGCTGTGCTCAAGAGCAGCAGCTCTACCAGGTCTCTCCACAGACAAAGCAGTGGGAGCTAGTCGCTTCTGATGCTGTCAATCACAAGCCAGTGAGGAGGGATCAAAGGGCAGGCCCGAGCCGCACTCTGTGTCAGATACACACACAGGTGGCTTTGAATGAGCACACACAAGTGCCCCCAGAGCAAGTGACTTGCTCTGGGGGCACTCAGTGGGGGGAGGAGCTAGAAGCACTAACAAGGCACCTGCGAAGAGGAGGATCAGGGCTGCTCTGTGCCAAACCATGGCACAGAGCAGGCAAGTATGACATAGTTGTTATATATATATATTTTTTTTTAAATAAAAACTTGAACCTTTAATATCACTTTAAGATAACAAAGTAATTCATACATTGTTTTTTGGGGAGATACTAGACTTTCTTATGGCAATTTTGAATTTTGTCTAGAAGTGCAAAATTTATTTTTCTATGCATTCCATAGGAACAACATAAAAAATTAATTTTTTTAACTTAACAAGTGTTTTATATAATAAATAGATTAAATAAATAACTATAATAGCTAAAGAGATAGTGTTACTATAGATAAAATTATCCATTTAGCAGTTTTTTCAAAATGAAAAAAAAGATTAAATATTATTGGTACATGTACAGCGCTGAGCAAACCTTCTGGCGCTATATAAATACTGTATAATAATAATAATAATTGGTAAAAAGGCATAAAAATAATACCTAAGGTGAGATATATTTGTTATTGCTGGTATTTGCTGGTATTAGCAGCTGGTGGCAGGGGAGAGGGGCAGGGCATGAGAGATACACCCTAGAACATTTTTTAAAAGTTTTTTAGGGCAAATTTCCTATGCCCAACATCCCCAAGTGAATAATAAACCCTAGAACAGTACTAATGACAAAACTTTCTTTTTATTTTTAGATAGAAGAGAAATGGTGTCAGATTTTTTTTTCTGCTGTCTGTGTTTAATTTGGGATTTTTCTACAAAATAAGGGGAAATTCTCTTTTAGTCATTGAACCATGTATCCCAAATTAAAGTTTTTATCTCACCTCTAGTGGCAACTGTGAAGTTTTAGATTTTCCATTGCTTTCTGCCCTTGTGACAATGGTCATCAGAGTATAAAGAGAGGGTAAATCACCCCAGCAGAGGAAAGCAGAGGAACAAAACAGGAAAAAAAAACAACAGTTCTAACTCCTTCACATTCAGACCAAAAAAAGATTTGGATAAGGTTTAAGCTAATCCTTTGAAATATTTATACACATTTGATGTGTTTAGCATTAGATGCTAAAAGGGCCTCAATGGTATAAGAAAGTTAAACTTACTTTGAAGTTACCAGGGTCAACCCTGAGTTTGCGGGCATGAAGCTCGCTGAGGGAAGAGAGGGCAAAATCAAGATCATTCAGATGTTGAGCAGCACTTCCAATGGCTTTTAAAACCTTTCCACCATGGCTATGGAGATCCCTTGAGCCATGGCTCAGGTCAAAATGGCTGAAGTATGTTTTCGTCTGTGGGAAGCTCAGAAACAACCTGGATTAGAAAGAACCAAATGTTTATTACTCATCATTAGCCGTCTGAAATGCAATGTACTAATATGTTGGAAAAGAAATGTTAACTCATTAATATTTGGTATCATTTAAAGTAAATATAAACCCAGTCACTAAACTCATGTAAGCTTTAAATGCTAAGTTCACATTTACACAAAAAAACAGGAGCCTGGAAAGCATTGCACCCACAATCAGCAGATCTCAGGTGCAATGTTAGGCTCCTGCACACACTACCTACAGGTCTGTTGCCTGTGCCTCTGTACGAGCTGTAATTGCAGAGCTGTGGGCAGCGTGAATGAACTACAGGTGTGCTGATCAAACTTCAAGCACGTCTTCCACGGTGGCTGACAGTACTTGTAGTTTATTCATTCACAGGAAATTGTGAATGAATGACGCGGCTGTGTGGTGAGAGCCCTGCACAGCCACGCTACTTTGAAAAACTGACAGTGGGTGTAGGAAGAGCAACTCCCACTGTCACAGAGAGGGGGATCAGGGGTTAAAGGTGGAACATGTAACATGTTCCAAAGGTGAACTTATCCTTTAACACCTAATAATATTTCAAAAGTTTTTTATGGAGGAAACCAGCAGTGCTGATGAGGAGCAACACAGGATAAAAATGTGTGAAAACAGTATCTTAATAAAAATTGGATTATTTCTACATAATTACCAATAAAAATGCATTTCTTGGAGTACATCATAGGACTCAGAACAGGCTATTCATGACTGTGTGGGTTATAGGCCACCTATAGGTGAATGGACACTGGCCGACCAATCAGAGAGAAGGTCCTCCCCTATATAACCCCTCCTATACAGGAAATACCTCAGTTTTTGTAGCAAGCAATGACATTCCAGAAAGAGGGGTAGGACCTCTGTGTCCCGTGATGTACTCCAAGAAATGGATTTTACAAGTAAGTTTGTAGAAAAAATCCAATTTTCTTTATCGTACATCACGGGACACAGAGCAGGCTATTCATGGATATGTGGGTTGTCCCAAAGCAATTTGAAATTTGACACCATGATAGTCACCATCAATAATCCCTCAGGACCTACTCAGTCATCCGTAAAACACTGCGGCCAAAGGCAGAATCCACTGCGGCTCTGACATCAACCTGGTAGAAACTTGTGCATGTGTGAACTGAAGACCATAGTGGCCTTGAAAACCTGAGCCACCGACGCCTGATGGTGGATTGCCCAAGATGCCCCCACACTCCTTGTGGAGTGTGACTTCACCCAAAAGTGTGGGACTTTACCTTTCAAACCATAGGCTTGAATGATGAATTGGAGATTCCAGTGAGGAATAGTTGCCTTGGATGATGCCTGCCCCTTCCTAAGCCCCTCTGGCAGCACAAATAGAGCATCTGACCTCCTGACCTGTGCTGTCACTTTCAAAAGCACCTTTACAGCACGAACCACGTTCAACGTATCTCTTTCTGACTGAGACCTAGGAAAGAATGAAGGCAGAACTATGTCCTGATTGAGATGAAAACCAGAAACCACCTTTGGTAAAAAGCACGGATGAGGTCACAAAACCACCCTATCATGATGCAAAACCAGAAATGGTTCTCTGCAAAATAGAGCTACTAGCTCAGACACCCTTCTTGCAGAAGTGATTGCCACTAGAAACAACACCTTATGAGTTAACAGGACCAATGGAATCTCTCCAATAGGTTCAAATGGTGGCTTTTGCAAAACCTCCAAAACCAGGTTGAGGTCCTAAGGACACAAAGGCAACCTGACAGGAGGAGCCATACGTATCACTCCTTGTAAAAAAGTACAGACCAAAGAGTGAGACATAATGGGCTTCAGGAAAAAAATAGCTAATGGTGAAACCTTGCCCTGAATGGTACCAACAGCCAAATTCTCCTGCAACCCTGTTTGAAGAAACGACAGATTCCTGCCAATCACATACTTATGTGGGTGCCATTTGTGAACCTCTCACCAGGTAATGTAAGCCCACCAGGTTTTATAATAAATGTTAGAAACTTCCTGTCTAGCAACCAACTTGATGGGGATAACAACATCCGACACTCCCCTATCCTTCAGGATCTGGATTTCAATAGCCATGCCGTCAAATTTAGTGACCGTAATGCTGGGTGCAGTATAGGACCTTGAGACAACAGGTCTGCCCTATATGGCAGGGCCCACATCCCATCTACTGCCATCTTCACTATGTCCATGTACCAGGCCCTCCTGGGCCAGGCCGGAGCAATCAGTATCACCGGAATAGACTACTCTCAAATCCTGCGTATGAGACATGGCAACAACTGGATAAGAGGAGAGGCATAAATCAGTGAGAACTGGTTGCAAGGAATCACTAAGGCATCTACTCCTGCAACGTGAGGGCCCCTTACCCCAGACACAAAGAGACCGACCTTGTTGTTGAACCTGGATGCCAATAGATCTACATCCGAACAACCCCATCGCTTGCAGATTTCCTTGAAAATATCGGAATGCAAAACCCATTCCCATGGAATCAACTGATGGCGACTGAGATAATCTGTCTGCCAATTTTTCACACCTGGAATGAACACTGCTGACAAACCTGGAACATATCTCTCTACCCAGATCAGAATGTAGTTCACTTCTTTCTGAGCACCTTGACTCCTGATACCGCCCTGGTGGTTGATGTATGCGACTGCTGTGGGATTGTTGGACTGAATCCTTACAGGCCAACCCTGAAGCCTGGATGTCCTATATCTCAGAGCCAGCCTCACTGCCTCACTCCTGTTCCAGGAAATGGATGGAAAGAACCCTTTCCCGTGGAAGCCTTGTTCCCTGAACTGTGGCCTCCTCCAGAATGGCCCACCAACCTAAAAGGCTTGCATCGGTGGTTACAAATTTCCACACCACACGCCAAAAGGATCTTCCCTTCTCCAAATTGTGAGTTATCAATCACCAATTTAGGCTCCGCTGCACCTCTGGAAACACCCCCCCCCCCCAGAGATATGCAGTAATCCAGGGCCAGAATCTTTTTGTTCCAAATAGACAGAATGTACCTTTGCAGCGGTCTGCAGTGGAATTGAGATGTAAAACTGATTATTTGAGGTGCCAACTGTGACAAAAGTAATATAATACAGTATGAAGCTGCCCCTAATTTAGTGGATGCCCACTTAGATGTTAATATGTGATATAAGTAAGTAGGTGCTACATAGAATTAAATAATAAATAAATATAAATGCAAATGGGTGAAAAAGTGCAACTGGTGGGGACTAGTATCACTACATGCCCCTACAGTGAAACTATTAGATTTAAATGAATATCTCAATGTGTAAACTATATTCCCATATTTTATACATATAACAAAACAAATGTAAAAATTATATATATAAGTCCATAGGTAAAGTGATAGCCCTTTCAGCTTCTTAAAACTGTGACCAGAACCAAGAAACTGTGACCAGAACCAAGTGCCAGCAGGAGAAAGTAAAGACTGCTCACTCACCAGACCTTTTGACTCCAATTAAGGTGGTCAGATGTGCTTTTTGGTCATATAGAAGACCATCCTTTCAAGAGATATCTCCCCTCCAGCAGCTCTCCACTTCTGGCCAAAGGCTATAGAATAGGGACTCCCAACATGCCTCCAATATTTATATGATGTTCAGTATGGGTTATCTTTACGCAGGAATAGTGCCGGACCACTCAGATAAACCAAACAAGTGAAATACCTTCTAAGTGCAGCATTTCTTAAATGAGCAAGAAAATATAAATAAAAAAAAAACAATTTTACACTCACATGGTATGGTGCCTGAAAACCGGCACCAGTATTTGCAGCCTGTGTGAATCTAAGATGGCCAACAAGCGTTCCACACCTCGTTCTCACTAAGCCTGGACGTTCCCGGACCAGGAAGTGATGTTTCCCTGGAGGCAGACATACCTTTGCCTGAACCATGTCTAGGACCATCCCCAAATACTCCAGGCTCTGCACTGGTTCCAGGGCTGAATTCTTGAAGTTGAGCACCCAGCCCAGCTGTCCCAGGATCTGCATCATAAGGACCACATCCTGATCTGGCACTGTAGCTGGCCAGCTAAGACCAGTCCTAGGTTGTTAATATGGTTCACATATATGTGTATACCAAACCTGCAATAACCTAAGTACAGTGTATATGTGTATATGTTAAAGCCAAAAGCAAAATCATTGCTGTAATTTGTCTTTGATTGTTATATGACATTTATATATTCATTGTGTTAGCAGAAGCAGAAAAGGAAAATATGCCTTTAAGAGTTAGTTAAAGATGAGCCAATCACAGACAGCCTCACACTGTACAGAGCCTTAACCAATCCCAGCCAGTTTCACATTTATGCCTGTGTAAAACTCCCTGCTAGGATTTTCTAGAGACACATGCTCACCAGACAGAAGAGGAAACAGACAGTTCCAATCAGAAAAGCTTTATGGAAGCAGAGCAGTCCAAATAGGTATTTAATGCGCTTGTGTGTTCCTCTGTTGTTTAACAGTGCAGGTAGATCTGTATGTTAAAACTATTGTGTGTGTTTACTTGTAGTTCCACCAAACTTATCAAACTTATCGAATTTACGAACTTATCGAACTTATCGAATATAACGAATTTATAAATCCAAGTGAATTTATCAATCTATCGAAATATACAGAACAAATTTATCGAATCTATTGAAAATATCGAGATAAGCTATCTAATCAAACCACTGTAATATGAAAGAAATAAGCTACTGTATGATAAATGAAACAAGCCATTGTAAGCAGTGTTATATGAAGAAGATTGAAGTTATTAAAGAAGTTAACTAAAGTGTTCGGTGTGCTCTTTAAACCTACTGCATCCATAGAGCGGCATTGGAGGAATTACAGAGTAAAGTCAGTCTAATCAAACAAAGAAACAGCAATTGC